TACTTGAAGTTGTTAACTTCAAGTACTTGACGTTGTTAACTTCAAGTACTTGAAGTTGTTAACTTCAAGTGCTTGAAGTTATTAACTTTAATTACTTGAAGTTAACAATTTTAAGTGCTTGAAATTGTTGACGCTAAGCAATTGAAGTTGTTAACTCCAAATACTTGAAGTTATTAACCTCAAGTGCTTGAAATTGTTAACTTCAAGTTTTTAAAGTTGCTAACTCCAAGTGCTTAAAAGTGTTAACTTCAAGCAATTGAAGTTGTTAACTTCAAATACTTGAAGTTATTAACTTCAAGTGCTTGAAGTTGTTAACTTCAAATACTTGAAATTGTTAACTTCAAATACTTAAAGTTATTAACTTCAAATACTTGAAGTTATTAACTTCAATTGTTAACTTCCAGTGTCTGTACGTATAACGTTTGATGCCCAAATTGTCAACTTCAAGCAATGATCAAATTTAAGCACAATGCCATATTTTATGCACCTGTATAGCAGTTTATGCGATTTGCATAAAATTGCCCATCTCCGCCTAAGAGCTAGTCACACTAAATGCTGTGTTACATAGCAATAAGTATAAATGACATGTCGTACCTGGTACGTACATATTTTTTGGCATACAAAGAATCATGGCAAACACACCAAAAGAATGGATTGAAAAGGCTATTTCCGAGGGACATATTGATAATCTTGAATATGATAAATTCACAAATCCCATAATGATTGGCATAGGAGGTTTTGGAAAGGTTTTTAAATACGAGTGGAAAGATTATGATTTAACAGTTACTCTTAAGTGTCTTAAAATCGAAACTGATGTAGGTTTAAATGAAGAAATTATTAAAAGTTTTGTCAATGAGGTATTTATTATATTAAAGCTTGAATTGTTTTGAATTGCTTCCTGGTATAGTATTATACTTTTTAACAATAATCTGAAATAAAAGCTTAAACTATTGAGAAAAGTTGATTACCATCTGAATATTATTAAATTCTATGGGGTCACAAAAGGTATACATGTAGTTATATTTTAAATGTAAATTAATAAATGTCAAATGTTTTAATTTATAATATTAATTATAATAACAGAAAATAATGGATATTACAATATGGTTTTACAATATGCTAATGATGGAAACTTACGAGAATATTTGAAAGCGAATTTTGCAAGATTACAATGGGAAGATAAATTACAGATCGCCAAGGAAGTAGTACATGGTCTTTTGTTCTTACATAACAACAATATTATTCATAGAAATCTTGTAAGTATTTTATTTTTATATGCTTGTGGGCTTTATTTTCAACTACTGATGTTCTGAAATATTGCCTAGCATTCGAGAAATATCTTAATTCATCAAAGACAGCCAAAGATTGCAGATTTTGGGCTATCAAAACAGTTAAGCGAGACGTCTACAAATTCCACCATTTGTAAAATGCCGGCATACATCGAGCCTCAGTGCCTTTTTAAGCAAGGATATAAACGTGATAAGAAGTCGGATGTCTATAGCGTTGGAGTAATCTTTTGGGAAATTTCGAGTGGAAAGCCACCATTTGAGAATTTAACGGACGAAATGATTTATCATAACATTATCCAAGGAAATAGAGAAAAACCTATTGAAGGTACACCGCTTCAATATATTGAACTTTACAAACAATGTTGGGACAGCGATCCTGCCAACCGTCCAGAAACAAAAAGAATTTCACTTGACATTACAACACCATCTCCACTTTATTTGCCTGATACAATAAATTCAACCATTTCGACGCAAGTTTTTAGTATTGAGGATATGAGAAAAGAAGCTTGCGAAAGTCTTAAGCAGGGCAAATTTCTCAAAGCATTAGAAATCTATGAAGAAACTCTCAAGAATAGTCAACATAATGAAGAAGATAAAGAAAACGCTTCAATCTGGAATTTTTATTCTAAATGTGGATCAAAAAAAATAAACGAGTTAATAAAGGTAATTTGCAAGAACTCTACACTGGCTTACTTGGATCTTGGTATGAATAATCTTGGATCAGAAGTAGGAAAGGCATTAGCAGATGCACTTTGCAAGAACAACATGCTGACTTATTTGAATCTTTTCAACAACAATCTTGGATCAGATGTTGGAAAACTATTAGCAGATGTACTTTGTAAGAACACAACACTAACTTCTTTGGATCTTCGATACAATAATCTTGGATCAGAAGGAGGAAAAGCATTAGCTAATGCACTTTGTAAGAATACCACACTAACTTCTTTGGATCTTGGTTGGAATAAACTTGGAGTAGAAGAAGGAAAAGCATTAGCAGATGCACTTTGCAAGAACTTCACGCTGACTTCTTTGGGTCTTAGTTCGAATAGTCTTGGATTAGAAGGAGGAAAATCATTAGCTAATGCACTTTGCAAAAACACCACTTTAACTTCTTTGAAACTTGGTTGGAATAATGATCTTGGATCAGAAGTTGGAAAAGCATTAGCTGATGCACTTTGCAAAAATGCAACGCTGACTTCATTGTATCTTGATTCAAATAAACTTGAATCAGAAGGAGGAAAAGCATTAGCAAATGCACTTTGCAAAAACACCACACTGACTTCTTTGGATCTTCGTTGGAATAATCTTGGATTAGAAGGAGGAAAAGCATTAGCTGACGCACTTTGCAAGAACACTACGCTGAAAACATTATATATTTATGGTAATAATTTTAATTTCTCTATAAAACCTAATAATTTAAATATTGAAATTTTTCAAAATTAGTATAAATGTAAACATAATTAAAATGTAATTATATTTCATGTAACTTTATATAATTTATATAAAATGAGTTAGTTAAATACTGTAGATTACTAAAATTGCCAATATAATCTGTTAAAAGTACAGACAAAACATTAAAACCTTTATCAATTAAAGGATCATTTATATTAATATTTCTGTCTGTTTAACGGTTTGAAATATTGAAAAATGAAATTTTCATTGCTACTCATTGTTAGAAAAAAAAAATAAAGAAATTATACTGATTTTATCAGTTAGGATCGTAATGTGAACCAGAACTAACTGTTTTGAGATTGAAACCCGAATTTTATTAGTTTCGAAGACCGATCTACCCAAAAGGACCTAATACTAGTGTTCCGCAAAAAAGAACCGGCCGGAACCGACATTTTTAGTGGGCATAAAAGTAATGTTCCACAAAAGTTACCCGAACTGAAAATCATATTTATAATAGTGTGGGAAAATCTACACTAGTCATTTTGTATTTTACATATTCCTGTCGCCAGAGCAAGTCTTCAAAGTTGTTCAAAGTTACCGGTTCCGGTTCGCCGAATCTGGTGATTTTGAAGGCTTGTTACTGATGGCAGGCACGTGAAAGATACAAAGCGAAGCCTGTTTCTAGTGTGGGGTTTTCGCACTATTATAAATACCATTTTTAGTTTAGATACTTTTTATGAAACGATACTTTTATTCTCACTAAAAATGCCGGTTCCAACCGGTTCTTTTTTGCGGAACACTAGTTAACACAGACCAAATCATATGTTAATGCAGGCCGAATGGCATGTTAATACAGGCCAGATGGTATGTTAATGCAAACCAGATAACCTCAAAAATCCCGCGCGTTGTCCATTACTAATTATTATTTATTTCACAGGTCTAATTTGCAAGTCACAATTTCCAGATCGTACACAAACTTTCCAGGTTTAAATCTATTATAGATGACACCCCCGGCAAAGTTTCCAGAAACACATTTCGGAGTTATACTAGTGCTGTAGTGTTAATGGCGACTGGCTGGATGACGGGTCCAACTATCACCACCAAAATAAACACAACCAAGACAACAAACCCACACGTATATTCGATATACAGAGGCGGTTTGATTTGGCAAGGTAAGGCGTATCGAGTAAATTGTGGGGACTAAAGAACGACTTTATTATGACTTTTACAAACACACTTATTGTTCTTTGGCAAAACAAGCCCGTTTTTATACAAATTTACATGCGGGGAGAACAAGATCGAACTTTTTAACTAAGCTCATCTCGCAGTATCACACCATTTCCGCAACATCTCTTTTCCCATAACACGGCTACAAATCCGACGGTTTACCTTATTTATTTACACCCAAAATCGTGGCATCACCTCTTTACCCTTTTTCAGTTTTGTTTGATCCTTTGTTTATCCGTACCAAACAAAGGGGAGGCTTTCACCATATTCCCCCTTCTTTTCTTTACCGGTATTGGGGAACCTTCCTTCACGGCATCTTGCACGCCGGATCGGGATCTTGGTCACGTCTTCGAAACACGTGAGGCGAAAATTTCTGCGGCGGATTCCACCAACACTAGCCATGCTTTCCTATGGTTTTGACCAAAATTACATTGTAATTTTGGCAAAGTACGTGGCTAGTATACCTCTGTAATGTGTTTTGCCGGAGGTTTCACTTTCTGTAAAATAGTTTTCTTTTTAGTCTTATCATTGCTACATTACTACCAAAACGAAAGTTGAATATCACGAACTTTTTGATCGATGTATAACGGCGAATTATTATACTACCCTAAAATTTATGACACAGTATGTGACGCCTATGTTAATAGTACTATATTTATAAGAATATATTTATACAACAGGAAACTACCTATAGGAGATAGCTTTAAGATGGAGATGGTTTGACGCGATAACTATATTAATTTTACTAGGTTCGGGTTCATTTAATAGATGCGTCATGTGGTTGATACGATACTGTAATCAAATATTAATTCGGAGTCCTTAATTCGGGCCCAATTCCAAAATTTGCCGTAATGATATACTTAGACATAGATCATCTCTCAAAGAATTACAGCATAAAGACCCTTCACCCAATTTTGGAGTTAAATTGACACATTTGGTTCCAATTTATTACACAAAGTATAATTATTCTAAATAGAAGAGCCAAAATAAAATTAGTAAATGAACGGAGATTCTAGGCTATTTTTTTTTGAGTTTGAAAATTTTCCAATACATTTTCTAACAAATAATTATAACTTACTAGCATAATTTAAAATGATTCATTTAAACCACTTACGGAAAGCTTATAGAGAAACATATAACACTGCACGTGCTCTTACGTCCGGGATAGAAGCTTGGGAAAGTTGCTTTACGAAGAGATTATATAGTAGAAAAGACCTAACTGAGGAAGATAAAAAAATTATTAAAGAGTGGTCTATCGATTTTTTTGAAAAACGCAGAGAAAGAGATAAAAGTGGCAAACCAAGACAATGTACAAATTGTAATTCAACTAAGCATTCGGATATATATTGTGAAAATTGTACTAGAGCGATGCTTGAGAGTCAATTTAAAAACTGGACTTCATGAAACAGAAATATTGATAAGTTTATTCAAGACTGTCAGTTGGAAATATCTATTTCGGGTTCTATTATAGAATGGATACCATTCGATCAATTTAAAAAAATTAAATATTTGGCTAAAGGCGGTTTTAGTAGTGTCTATAAAGCTAAATGGATTAAAGGCCATATTGATAAATTGGATGAGGAAAATGAATGTTTTATTAGAACTGGTACTTTACCTGTTGTATTAAAAGCGCTTAATGATTCAGAACAAATTGGGGAAGAATTTATGAAGGAGGTAACTAAGGTTTTATTTATATTGTATAAATCTTATGAGTTGATATTTTCATAATTTTTTTGATATTGCAATCCCGGCTGAAGTAATGCTTTATTTGTGATTTTGTCACGGTATTTTTAATATGAAGACTTATTGTGGTTTAAAAATAGGATCAGATCGTCAGTACTGTTCTTGATGAGGTTTAAAAGGAATAACTCAATGCAATAATTTTTTTATTATCCGTTAGGATCAATCCAATACAAAATTTCTATAATGTACCCTGGTAGAGTATTTTCTTTAGGCTGAATCTTTAATATAGGCCTCTTCAGCAGTCATGTTTTGTAGGGTCCGTATTATTTCACCGACAATCATTTCATAGACACCGCATTTCACCGACAATTATTCATCGACAAGTTCATTTCATTTCACCGAAGCTCATTTCACCGACAAGGTTTTTTTTATAAATTACACTCTAATTCGGTGAAATAAACTGTCGGTGAAATGTGGTGTCTACGAAGTGATTGTCGGTGAGTTGATCGTATCCCTGTTTTGTATACAAATTTAGAGACAGCAAAGCCTTTATTTAGTTTAGTGCTAACTAAAAAATGTATTTTGCACCAAAATTTACAAAACATGCTGACCCCTGAAAAGGCGATTATTTGACGCATGAAACCATTGTAGCCAATCGATCTCCCTCACAGCCTACAAATGGCCACGTTATTAAAACATCTTGGCTAAACTTATGATTTGGCTGCCTATTTTCAATATTCTTAGTGTTGATTTATTTAGCATGCAAATACGATTGGCTGCGACGATGAATGATCGACAAAACCTCGGTATTTTTTTTTCATACAATCGCCTAGTAATAATAGAAATTAATCACGCCCGAAATAACTGATATATTTCCCGCCCTTATTATACTTCTATCGTTAATATTATTCTAATATTCTAATATTTAAAAGTTAGCTTTATTACAATCACAAAACTTTAGCCAGCAAATTTTATCATATTTTCAGTTTTCAAATTTACCAGTTTAAAGAATTCGTTATATCGTTGAACTTAAATCGTCAAGTCCCTTAAAAAAGTTAGTATCCTAATTAATGTGATTAACTTTCGTGAGCATTAGAATTTTATACGGATCTAATTTACGAGAATATGAGAATGTGGCAATATCAAAAGGGTGTGAAAATATCCGTTCAATTTGGCTCAAAAGAGTTTTTTTAAAATTTTATTAATCACCAATATAACTAAGGTTAAAAATGGCCACGAAATGATAAGAGGACATTTTACTTGTTGTTATGGAGTAACGAAAAATCCAGACACGAACGAATATATGATAGTTATGAGATACTTTCAAGATGGGAATCTAAGAGACTATTTAAAAAGTAATAATGCAGCACTTAGTTTAAAGCAAAAAATTCAATTTATCTATGATATAAGTGCATGTCTCTATGAAATTCACAAAGCAAAATTAATACACAAGGATTTGCATAGTGGTAATATTTTAATACATGAGGGTGATGAAGCCTTTATGGGCGATTTAGGAATGTGCGGACCAGCTGATAGTAAATTATTGAATAAGATCTATGGTATTATGCCATATATGGCACCAGAATTGTTAATGTTAACGGAAAAGGGGTTTTCAGAAGAATCAGATATTTATAGCTTCGGAATGTTAATGTGGGAGATATTTTCTGGATATCCTCCATTTGACGAAAGACCGCCTGATGCTCATTTAGCCTTTGCTATTTGTAATGGAGAAAGGCCATTTATTTTGCCAAATATATCAGAGTTTTTTAAAAAATTAATTCAAGAATGTTGGGATAAAGATCCTTCAAAAAGGCCAAAAGCAAAGGAACTTCATTATTCAATTGAAGAAGAATATAGAAAAATCCTTATAAATGAAAGGTATTATAACGAGCTATTGAAAGTATATAATTCAAACTTTTATTCAGTTCCAGACACACATGAATGTGCTTCTCGTACAAGTAGATTATTTAATGAATTTTTAAAAGGTAAATATATTATATTTTCGGCTTATAGATGCAGACTTATTTACATTATTATTGCCGTCCACTTTTATTATAACTTTTTTAAAGTATCTAAATAAAGTCCTCTGACAATTTGATAAATTTTTTATTAAACTACGAATTTTGTCGGGACTTTATTTTTAATTTTTGAAAAGTTATGATGGGTTAAAGTTATATTTATAAACCTGGGTTTAAGTACTATTTATTCTCGCCAGCGGGCCGAGATCTACTGGATTATTTTTCCAATTGTGGAGAATAAACGGGATTTTCGACTCATAATCACTACTTTAATCAATAAAAAAAACCATTGTTTATTATTTCATCGGCAACACTTAAGTTCCTCGGAAGTCCGGACAATAACAAGTGTTGCCGGGAAAATAACAAGCATTGCTGGAAACTCGGTTTTTTTTACTGATTAAAGTAGTGATTATAAGTAGCAAAGCCCATCATGCGATCGTATAGGAACGTGAAATATTATTATATTTATGCGTGTTGACCTAATTAACCAAATGGTGGATGTAACCTGTTTGCGCAAATTTTTTTACAAGTCACTGGTTGTAGTGAACTCACGTTATAAATATAGTGAACGTTTTTATATAAAAATCCTATCTATATACAGTAGTAAAGAAAAATCCACAGTCGATCAGATTTATAACTCAATGTATCAACATTTGAATTTTTTTTTACTAAGACAAAAACTGCTGATATTTCCAGAGTACGTGTATTATCAATATGTCTTGATTAAGCACAATAAGCTTGTATCAGTACGGTATGGAGTGTATGGCACCGATTTGAAATGCCAAGTTGCTTTAGTTCCATACTCTGAGGATAGCGAGTCGGTATTAAACTGATCCGATTAGCTATTTTTAATTCGACTTTGAGTTAAGCTTTCTTAAGTCGATTCTAAAAAATTAAACCACTCGACAGTTGAACTGATATTGATATAGAAAGAGAACCTTCACTAAATTAGAAATTTACGTACGTACGTACATATCTACTGCCGTACAGCATATTACAAATAAATGCACTTAACATTTAAATTATTTTTATCATAAGATCTAAGTAATTAAAGTAGACTAAGTTTTAACTCCCTTAATCAACATAGTATGATTTTTAAAATAATTAATGTACGTACGTACCCTATTGTCGCGAAATAATGCGCAGGAGTGTAATTTCAAATTTGGCTATTACTCTAAATAACGCGAATGGACGTTATTTTTGACGATGTACACCTCTCATTTTCATTCCATAAAAATTTGTGCAATATGAAAATATCCAATATCGATTGAATTCACGATATTAATCGAACATTAAGCTAATAATATATCTTTTTAAATAGATAATAATAAAACAAAAGAATTAGATATTTTACAAAGCGAAAAGACGTTCGAAGTAAAAGGTATTTGATCTTTGTTATTCATACTTCGTATAATAAATTTTGGTTTTTAAAACGGTAAGATCTCAATAATCGCTATATGGGCTTAGAGAATTAATTCGAATATATATATATTAATGTTTATAGAAAGATTGTAAAGTTGGCTTGTCCGTTATCAGTATATTTACTTTATTTTACGGACGATCATTCATCTTTACACCATTTGTTGAGAACTACAAAGTCTTTTTTTTTTAAAAAAAAAAACGGTGATATTACGCTTAAGGCTTAAAGCTTAATTTTTCATTTTAGAATATGAAAATTAAGCGTCTTTATTTAGTTATTAAATGCCACAATTGATAATATAAATAAAATTTTTGGAGTATTTCTTTTTAGGCTAGGCTATGAATTAAGTTAGATTTGTTAATGAGAGTACGAGTTGTTTTTGATAGGACTTATATGAAATGGAAATTTCGAATTTCAGCATCTACGACATCAAAAGTTTATTATTAATAAATTTACAATAAATTTAATAAATTAGATTTAATTATTGAAAACAATAATGAAGGCAGGAAGAAAAAAGGATACGAGATCAAAATAACTTCTAAAAAAAAAAGTATTTATTTATCTATTTATTTATTTTCTAAATGAGAACCTAAAATGATTTATTAACTTATGACCTAATTAATAAAATTAGGTTTAAATGTTGAAAATAATAATGAATACAAAGAAGAAGGATGTGAAATCGACTTTCTAACCATGACAAAATGACGTAGGCGATGTTATCAATATATTGTTCAAACCAAAATCACGGCTAAACTGCTGCTAATGGCCTATACAAAAAATTAACAATAATGAAGGCGTTTATAACTTATTAAATATATATTTGTTTTGGTTTTTTTTATCCGGAGCGTAGCGGAGGACTTACATATACTAGAGATCTTAGCAAATTTTAGAGGAGGTCTTCGGATACCTACCAATTCACATGATATTTCATTCACCAGCCCTATAAAAAACTTTGTTCAGTTATTGTAGGCATTGTCTGAAAAAATGTTCGAAATGAAGTCGATTTTCCGAATGCAAGTACGTACTATATTGTACAATTTTTATAATGTGATGTAAGAAATGAGTCCATTCCGAACATTTTTTTGAACAAAAACAGAATAACTTAGGAAATTTTTGAACATTGCAAAATTTTGGCGAAGTTTTTTTATAGGACAGTTAGTGTTAGGGGTAAGCAGTGAATAAAATTCAAAGTCAAAATTTGGTGCGTATTGCGCACCAAATTTTAGATTCAATGTGCGCAAAGTTCGATACAGTGGAACAAGGCTAACAGTATAGCGCACATTATTTTAAATAATTATTAAAAAAGTTGCGTGCGCATTGCGCACAGCATTATATTTTTTTTGCGCGCAAAAAATTTTTTATGTGCGGAGCGCACATGCGCACGTCGAATTTTATTCACTGGGGGTAAGGTTTTTATGATTGATTGATTTATATTTGGCGGGTGTAAAAATCACATGATGTCTATCTGCCTGATCACATGATTTATATTACAAATTATTTGTTTCAGATTTATTGTGATAAATAAAATAATTATAAATATCTGTTAATTTTTAATAGCGCTCTCCTGCACGAAATAAGGATTGATTTTCAGAGCCAAATATTTTTTACAATGTCAACACGTCCAAAATTAAGTTTTCATTTGAATGTATGATCAGTATGTTTGGTGCGTTTAGTCTGTATGAAAATTTATGCCGAAAATTGTTCTTGTCAACCAACAAATCTTAACAAAAAGCATAAAAAGGTTCTGAATATAAGATAAGCTTTCATAATAAATGTGGTGGATTATGCTGAAAATTTTTCATATTTTATTATGAAATTGTAGAATTTTTTAGGGCCTTTTTTGTGGTCTTTTTTTTTTTAAGGGTTAGGTTAGTGTTAGGGGTAGTTTTATTAATAAAAAAGTATATGTGGATTTTAGTAGGTATTATAGATTTAAAAAGGGTCCCCATTTTTCAGCATAATCCCCCCACAATAAATATATTACATGAATAAAAAAGTTCGATAAGAGCAAGAACTTATTGACTGAACTAAAGAAAAATATAACTCAAGTTATAACTCCAAACAACCAAATTTTTATTGTCAACAAAATCATAGTGAAATCTATAAATAATTTAGCACATGTGCATTATCAACAAAATATTATATAATTATTTCATTTCAGAATTTATTTTTTTATTTCTAAAAAATAAAAATACATGATTTCTAATCATATGGTACAGTTTTAAAAAATGTACAGTACAGGTTCTACTACAAAATCACGAAAGCCATTTTCCCGAAAGAACATAATACCGACTAAATCGGTCAGCATTATAACTAACGCCGGCTGACATTGTCGGTATTAGGTCCTTTCGGCATTTTGTGGTAAACCCTAAAATTCTATATAACCTGAACGGTTGTCGCTCAATTCCCCCGAAAGCAATGCCGATATGCTATTTCATCTACAGCACATTTTTTCTATAAGACATATATTCGATATTACAATACTTTTCTTAGATAAGACATTTCTCCGACAATCATTTCTTCGACATAACATTGGCCAGATTTAAGATTTAACATTATGGTTGGTCTGATTTAGAGTTAGTGTTGGTTAGAATTATTAACTTTCAGGGAATCGTGCCGTAACCAAACAAACTATTAGTTTATATAAATTTTATGTGTTTACCATACCACTGAATCCCGACATCCAAAATCCCGATAGACAAAATCCCAACATTCAAATCCCGATAGTACAAAATCCCGAAAATATAACTTTTCGGGATTCTGGATTGTTGGGATTTTAACTTGACGGGATTTTGTACTATCAGGATTTGAATGTTGAATTTTGTGTGTCTGGATTTTGGATGTCGGATTCTGTGGTAAACCTGCGTCGACCTTATTTGGATAATTAATTTAATAAAGTTTTATAATAATTTATTTTGTTAAAACTTCAGTTTTTAAACCAAAAACGTTGATTGTAAAATGCATATATCTATTTATGCACAATATTAAAAAAAAATATTATTTGTATTGGCAGATCTAAAAGATAATCTTGCCTTAATATATGTTTTTAGAAAAATAGTATCAATTTCTTAATCATACATAATAAAAATTCCAAAAAAAAAACGAAATAATGAAAATAATCTGCATAAATCCAAATTTTATCTTTGTTAATATATATTAAATTTTTACATTAATAATTAAATAAGAATGTTTTAAATTATAAAATTAATAAAAAACATTAGGAATCTAAAAATGAACCAATTATTAATATATAACTTAATTAATTTCACATCAATTTTTTGGCAATTAGAAAGTGCTAAACTACGATTTGATGATTTATGTGTTTCAAATAAGGGTTCGTGTCTTTCACTATTATCCAATGATTCGCTCATAACCTTTTCAAAGAATCCTGATAATGCGGCTACTGGATTTTTATCCACATTCTGATATTCGGGAGTATTTAATAATGTATTCAACCATTCTTTATTCGAAACAATCCTAAAATCTATTCCACTTTGTTGTAAAGATTTTAAGAATTCGTTCCATGTGACTTGTTTCGGATTAACTATATGATTAACTCGAATATAATCACCATCTTTAGTAAAAGGAGATATCGACGATACTTTGTGATGCGATATCAAGAGGAATCCAGTCAACATTTGAGGAATATGAATCCGGCATAATTTTCATAATTTGTGCACCTTTTATCATAAGTGGAATATGTTCTCTGGTATTCCAAACTCCTGTAACTGAATCTCACTAACTTGTCCAACATGATGAAAATCAAGTTTAACCCAATTTTTCGCGACCATTCAGCACATACATTTTCAGTAATGAATTCTGATAAACCGTATCCATTAAGCATTGCATTTGTAATATCATGAGTTAATTCATCTTCTTTAACATTAGTTTTTGATCCAATAGTTGTGCTGACACTTGATGTAAAATTAAAATGAACATTTTGATGATGAGTATATGCTTCACGAGCGAGCCTAAGAAGATGAACAGTTCCAGCAATACTTTCACGCTCAAAAGCTTCAATTTTACTATTAAAATCTAATCTCCAAGCGACGTGGTAAATTTGTGTTACCTCTTAGACAAGTTTTGAATAAATTTTTTCGGTTTGCCCAAATTTCGAATCACCCAAATCACTTGGTAAAATAATAATACGTTCTTTAGATAATAATGAAGTATCTAAATGGCGTTGTTCAAATGAATCTTTTAATCGAGACCATCCATGATTTTTATCTGAAGCTCTCACCAAACAGTAAACTTTAAGCACATTTGGATTGTTTAATAAATTACGGAGTATAAAAGAGCCAAGAGATCCAGTAACTCCTGTCATAAGAACCGCTTCACCATTTTTTCATTTACGATTTCATTAATTTTATTAAAGTCACCCATGGAAATTTATCAGTCGCACTGTACTTTTGAATATAGGAGTTCACTTCGCTTTTAAGAGCATGTAATTTTGTTTCGTAGTCATCAATATTTTGACTTTGTGGAGAGCTGATATTTTTTGACAATTCTTTTGTCAAATAATGTGTAAGACTTTGGAAAATATTATATTCAAAAATCACATCATAGGGAAGGTTGATAACTGGAAATTGGTTTTGAAGAATAACTCGTAATTTAGTTGCAGATAAAGAATCTAGACCAATAGCAAATAATGAGGTTTCACCATCATCAGTTAGTGAAAATGGATCTCCAATGGCTAATTTAAGGGAATCTAATATAATAGATTTTATAGAATCTTCGTTCCATTGATTATTGGAAGATGATTTATTATTTGAGACAATATTTGCATTTACTAAATTATCATAAAGCATTTCAATTTCTTCTTTAAATTCTATTTCAACTTTTTTACGTTGAACGTTATTTTTAAGGGTTTGGGTATAGTTTTTCCTTCAAGAGGTAAGATGTAAACCATTTCATCAAAGATTCATGAATGTGATGGACAATCATTATTAGTTTGATGTATTGAATCAGATACTTTTGGTGGCATCTAAGAAAGGAGTCATTTTGATATTTTCATAATCAAGTTTTATCAAAAGACAATTGAATGGTCTATTAAATCCAACGACTACTACTTGTCTAACAAATTGATTAAGATGAATTGTTTCTTCGATCGGAATTGGATTTGTCTTTCTCCAGTACTATGAACAATTGTATCATCAGCTCGACCAAGTATAATATAAAAACCGGAACCTTTTGGAGTTTCAAGAAAGAGATCCCCTACTTTATAATCACCATCTTCAGTATTTCCTTTAATGTTTGAAAGGATTTGCTTCTTTTTTTATAATTAATTCTTTCGCACCATCGATAAAATCATTCTTTTCTATCCATTTTACATAACTTTCCGGTATTGCCAATTTCATTGCATTCCATGGGATATTAGGTAAAAAAGATTTATTAACTATACGTGAATCCATAATGACTCCTGTTTCAGTCGAACCATAAACAGAATGGATATTGACGCCGGATTGAACAAGTCGTTCACCTATTTGAGGTGACAATGCAGCTCCAGCATAATTGATAGATCTTAATTTTAATAAAGTTTTAATTTCTTCTGGGCGATTTTTATAAACTTGTTCAATAGTAGCGGGTAAGGTATAAAAAACATTAGCCTTAGATTGGTTTAAACTATGTAAAATTTCATTTACTAAAGGAACTGATCCTGAGACGATTGGAAATACATATACAGAACCAGGATTGAGAATAGTAGTTAAAATGACAGTCATTCCAAAAATATGAAATAATGGAGGGGTTGCTAAGATAATATCATCAGCTTTATCTTTTGAATTCATAACCAAGAAATTACGATTGGTGAGAGGAACTAATTTAGGAAATTAAGTCGAGCCGGAACTGTGAAAAATGGCAATAGTTTTCTCATAAGAATTATCATCTAGTTTCAGAACAGGAGCTGAATAATCAATATTTTCATTCTTTAAATTGTTAGGAAGTTGAAAAATTTTAAGCATTTGCAAATGTTGAGAACCTAATTCATTTTGCACATTATTAGAGATTTTTGAAAATTGAGAATCGTAAATGAGAATACTTGATTTAGCTTCTTGAAGTAAATGAATCAATGCAGGTTCGGAATTTTTAGGACTAAGGAATAAAACTGTAAAGCCCAATTTCCATAAAGCCATGAAGTTATATAAGTATTCAGGACCACTTTGTGATAAGTAGCCGATCACATTGTTTTTCTTCAAGGTTTCATTCTTCAATTGTTTACTCCAATAGTTAGCATATTTATTGATAATAAGGTCCAAGTCTCGAAAGTTGAATTCTTTATACTCTGCACCGTTTGGGGCCAAAAGAACTTTTTCTTTTGGTCTAGTTGATACGAGATGTTCAAAAGCTTTTAATAAACTTTGGTGTTTGTGAGCCATTTTTTTTTTGATTACAGGAATATAAGTTTATAGAGTTTGAGTTTATAGAATTTAAGTTTATAGAAGTTTTGTTTATAAAATTTGAGTCGCGATATGGTTTTTTGTTCGTATTTACATTTACGAAGCATGGTAATTTACAAATTTTGCTAACGGTCGAGGAAATTTTAAAAATCCGTTTCAAAGCCCTAAAGTTTCTTAATCGTCAAAAGATATGTAAAATTACGCCGGATAAATTACCGGTAAACTATAGCCGGATCACATGTAAAATCCTCGGTTAAATTATGGAAATTACTACCAACATAGCATCGATACACCATGACCAGTATTAACCTTATTGACACAGCATAGCTATAAACTGTATTAAGCAACATGGCCAGCATTAGAGTTAGGGTAGGGTTATTACATGTAATAGAAATTTCTACCAACACAGCGTTATCAATACCTATGAATAGGGTTGTAAAATTACAGTAATTTTGTGTAAGTTTACGGTAACATAGTTTTCAGTAATTTGTAATTCACAAATTCACATGATCTGAGATCAAAATTTTCGGTGATTGAAGAGTTACAAAATTAAATAAATCAAATTATGCAATAATGCTGGCTGAGCTTTTGTAAAGCTGGTACAATATAATAACGTGATATGTAAGTTACATGAAATTCGATTACTGAAAATTACGTAAAATTACATGTATTTTCAACCCTACCTATGAACAGCATTGACACTGAGAATTAGGTTCCATAAATTATTGCCTTTACATACATTAGCGTCACATTAGTCGAATATTCATTTCATTTCATTTAGGATGCTAATTGTTTAAGTTCAATTTATCATTATACAACTTCGTCAGGTTCAATTTGTTTACACTAATTAAATATATAAGACATTAAATATCAAAGATATTTGTAACACTGTAAGTAAACAAATTTATGATTACTTTCATTTTATTTAATTCATGTATAAACAAAACCATTGAATATTTATAAACTAGAGTATTTGAAATAGATTATTCAAATTAATAAACATTTACTATCAAGTTTTTTCACTTTATTTCATCCAAATAATAGTAATTTAAAAACATGAAAATCATTATCAGCAAATATTGTCACAATAAACTTGATTTCTACGTAATTATTAAAAAAAAAACGATATCATGTGACGATAATAGCAGAAGACTAGACAAATGAACCTCTCAGTATGACAATGCATAAAGGCATTCTTTTTATTTAGAAAAAAATATGTTGCAAATTTTCGAATTAATCACCCGGGTTAAACTGATGATCTGATACAAGCTCAACAAATGTTGATATACAATTTATGCGAAGGAATTTTCTAAGGGTTTTCCGATATTCGTTGCTCGTACCAAAACGATCAAGATATAAGGTTATTAGAGTAACATTTTGCCTTAAGGCCTCTATTAATGCCTTCTCCTCTTCAAAACCAAATCTGTTATCAGAAAGGTATAAAGAAGTTAAGGTAGTGTTCATATAAAGAACTTTTTCCATTGCTTTTACGCCTCTAGAATCAATCCCATTCCCGCAAAGTTGCAAAGTAGATAAGGAAATGTTTTTACAAAGAGCCTCCGCCAACACTTCGACACCTTCTGATCCAATATTGTTATAACTGAGATTTAAAAAGGTCAGGGTTGTGTTTACGCAAAGAATCTCCGCTAATGCTTCAGCAACTTCAGATCCAAAATCATTATCGCCAAGATCTAAAGAAGTTAGAGTAGTATTTTTGTGAAGCGACTCGGATAATGCTTTTATCCCTTTAGAACCAATTTTATTCCCAAAAAGGTCTAAAGTAGTCAAGGTAGTATTTTTACAAAGAGCCTCTGCTAATGATATCGCACCCTCAGAACCAAGTTCGTTATATCGAAGATCTAAAGTAGTTAAGGTAGTATTTTTACAAAGAGCCTCAGCTAATGATATCGCACCCTCAGAACCAAGTTCGTTATATCGAAGATTTACATCAATTAGGGTGGCATTTACACAAAGAGCCTCTGCAAGTGCTTTTCCACCTTCAAAATCGATATTATTACAACTAAGATGTAAAGTAGTCAAAGTATTGTTTCTGTGAAGAGCTTTTGCCAGTGCCTTTAGCCCTCTAGACTAGGGATGGGTACGGTCACGGTCATAACCGTTGTGACCGGTCATTGACCGTTGACCGGTCAGAGCGGTTTAACTGACCGGTCAAATAATGACTGATGCCAGATTCTTTAAAAAAACCATCATACTACAGCTGTTATCATAAATTCTGGGACACCAATTCGATAAAATCTGCAATTTTGAAATAAACCTGGTTACACTCGGACAGTATTAGTGCTAGTAATAGTAA